TACTGTGGATTAATTTCACATTCCACATCACCATGCGAGATGATGATTGCATTTTGTCTTAGCGCTTTAATGAGGTAAACATCGCTGCATTTTCAAAGAGGAAAATTTGTTTTAATTACGTGAACAAACAGAAAATCTAAGCATAAGAAGCGCAACTTTAATACTTAAGCTGGGGGAGTTTCGGCTGATACTGCTGATATTGCTGCACGTAAAGGCCAGGACTTGTAACTGGTTTGAGATACGACGCAGTTCTCCCTCTGCAACCTGTTGCTCCTGGCAAATGGACGGATCTGTTGCCTCTTCTCGGTGGTCTGCAACTCGCAACATGATAGCAAATAAAAACTCAAAAGCAAAGGTGCGAAAGTGCAGTATCCGACCGGGGAGCATGGCTATCGACAGTTGTCTTACTGTTTCGGTCTTCTGCGGTAAATTCACGGTCTTTTCATTGTACGTAAAACTGTTAGCCTTTTTTATTGATTTCTACTAGTGAATAAGTACACATATTTTGCTGAAGGTATTGGCGGAAATGGCGATGATGATAATGGAGACGATGAAGATTATGACGAATATTGGGATGGAGATAAAAATGAGCATGACCATGAGCATGATGATGATGAAGACGATTATGCTAACGATGTTTATAATGATTATACTGATCAGACAATCAGGATGGTGATAAAAATCAGTGTGAGATGATTTTCTTTCTATGCAGTGTTCAGTGGAATGACAACATCATAAATATTTCTGGATAATGTTTCTGCTTCGCATTTTCTTATTTTGATGATCGTCATTTCGATGATGGCCATATCGTGTGTGTGGTTAGCTAAGTTTTACGGAGACTTTGAAAAGGTATCCGACCTTCTTCCTCTTGGACCGGCAAAGGTACAGTTTAGTTCTTTTATTCACTTGTCTTGTCCCTTTCCTCATCATCTTCTGCATTTTTACTATCTTCATTTTCTTTTTAATCTTTCAACAATAAGACGCCTAGCGAATGAATTTTGGAGGAGTTGGCACAATGACCTGAGGATTGAAACACTGGTTAAGCGGCCTACCACCTCTCGAGTTTAACAAAGTCAAACGCTACAACGTGGTCGACTACAGAGTTAGAGCATTAGCTGAAAATTACGGTCGTGAACCTCCTAGTTTCGACTTATGAAGAAACTTTTATTTAATAACATCAGCAGATGAAATCCTGAACTTTCAACAACACAAAGATGAGAATATATCTTAAGCCTCGACCCCCCAATTAATGATTAAAGAAAGCCAATACATAAGGTATTCTGAAAGAGTGAAATCATTTATTTGCTGCATAGGCAATGTTGTTTTAAGCTTCGGAAGTTGTCGTTTGCAATGTCTAATCCGCTCACTTAAAGACTGAGTAACGTCCAGACCATGTCGATGTATTGCAATCACTAACCAAGCAGAACCATCAGTTATTTGTCGGTTCATCAGCACATGTTCTAATGCCGCCTCGTGTCATCCAGTTAGTTCAGGAAAGAGTAGACCAGCTTCAAAATATTTGGCAAAATGTTTTTCATTTAAAACCTCCACATCGTTCCACTAGCATATCTATAACCAAGGGTCGATTGAAATGAACAGACCATTGAGAATGCTGAAGCAGTGTTTTCCACTGATAGTTTCACTGCTGTGACGAGTTCTTCATGAAGTTATCGACATTATTACTAATACTTATGTTATTTTCAAAATAAGGTATTGGGGTCATCAAAACACAGATAATATGAATTCGTTTACAGAATTTACGAATGAATTTATACGCGTCATTTACAATCCTTCGAACTTGTTTCAGGCAGAGTGTGTAGCCACAAAGATTTCTTGCTTAAACCAGGTAACAATCAACGCAGCATACTTATCCCATTGCGCTAACAGTGGATTCTCTCGAAAGGCAATATAACTGTAGATCTATCTAAACGTGTTGGTGTGTATTAATGAGGATGGACCATTTTAGACTATTTGTTAAGCTAATAGAATTTATCTAAATTCACAAAATAATTTGGAAACGTTAGTTGTAATTCGATACCTAGAACCATTTGAAATTCCAGTTTTCTTTTGGAACATTTCAATAAATGCTGTCAAAACTAAGAAAGGGAGCCGA